GCACGTGAAGTAGTACACGATTGCTTACGGTGCTTCAGAACCAAGCCCAAAACGGTTGAACATTTCATGGGAGAACTACGAGCATCCTACGAACATCGACCTGGTCCTCGTAGTATAGCAGTGAAGGCGTACGTTGCACTGTTCGTCTGCATGTGTACAAAAGCAGTTCATCTCGAACTTGTAACTGACCTTACGACGGATCAATTTCTGTAGGCATTTCAAAGGTTCATTGTCAGAAGAGGACGTTGTACTATTCCGAAAACGGGACCAACTTCAACATTTGTTCGACCTTCTCAAGAGCAAGGATCATAAGGACGAAATAGTCAAGGAATGTAACTTGGAAGGGATAACCTGGCATTTCAATCCACCTAGTGCGCCACATTCCGGTGGCCTCTGGGAAGCGGCCGTCAGATCTGCACAAATTCATTTGCTGAAGGTTTTAGGCGAAACCGTCAGGGTATCAAGATGATTTCAAAATAGAATTTTTGACGGGATTCTGGACAACAACAAAACGAATCAAGATCCAGGATTTCGAAAAAAATAAAATGTTGAGATTTCATGTTTGGAAAATTTAATGATCCTTATTAAAAAAAAACTTTCAAAACTCAGGAACAGGCTTCTGCATTTTCGAAACAAAGAAAAGAAAATGAACTCTCCGCAAAATCGCTTCATTTCGAGCAATGCCATTTTCGTGTAAGTCATCGTTTTTCTTGTTATCGAGTCACGATGAACATTCCTCTTTTCAAACATGACTGGACTATCACTTATTTCGTTCGTCAAGTGCTTCAGTTCATTTCATTTGAAGCAAAGACTTGTTTCAATTGAGTCAATGAATGACTCGAAAACTGCTACCTTCGTTTTTTCCACTTTCACTTCAATTTGGAGCTCATTCGACTTGTCACGACCTGACGACGCAGGCATCAAAATATAGTATCCGAATAGTATCCGCACAATATCGGTTGCCGACTGAGTAATAATATATTATTTCAGGCATAACATTTGATAACGGCACAAAAGCATTTGTAAACAAACTTTCTAAGGCCCTTTACCCGCGAACCAAAGGACGCTAACGCAAACCAATACCACTTTCGGAAAGGAGATAGTTTCCCCTATCCGATGATGCCGGTGATGTAACGGCACAATATCAAATGTTATGCCTGATTTTATATTAAACGAAAATTAAATTAACGAGGCCATTTTGGAGTCCAAGATAGCAGCCATCGGGGTCAGGGAAAGTCTCAAATACCCTACAATATGGGTATTTTCGGAACGAGGACGACGTGAAGGTGCCGAAAATCGATATTCGACGTTATTTTGGAATCCAAAATGGTGGCCATCGGGTTTCAGAAAGTGTCATGTACCCTACAATAGGGTATTTTCGGAACGGGATGCCGCGTAGATGCTGAAAATCGATATCCGACGCCATTTTCGAATTCAAGATAGTGGCCATTGGTTTTATGATGTGTCAAATACCCTAAGATATGGTTATTTTCGGAACAGGGACAACGCGTAGATGCCAAAAATCGATATCAGATACCACTTTGGAATCCAATATGGCGGTCATCAGGGTTCAGAAAGTGTCAAATACCCTACAATATGGGTATTTTCGGAATGGGAACAACGTGTGAATGCCGAAAATCGATATCCGATGCCATTTTGGAATGGCGATGGCGGCCATCGGGTTTCACAAAAAGTGTCAAATACCCTAAGATCTTGGTATTTCGGAACGAGGACAACGCGTAGATACTGAAAATCGGTATTCGATGCCATTTGCAGGCTTTTTGACACTTCTTCTGAAATCGGAAGCCACCATCTTGAATTTCAAAATGGCGTCGTACATCGATTTCTTTCTTCTAGATGTCAGCCCGATTCCAAAAAACCCACATTGATCGGTATTTGACAGTATTTCACAGTTTTTCTGAACCAAAGCCGACATCTTGGATTCAAAGACGGCATCTACGTCTCATCCCCATTCTGAAAATAACCATATTTTAGGATATTTTGACAGTGAGCATTCATAAGGGCGAATACGCGATGATCGATTCTCTTCATCGATTTTCTCTTTGCATTGCTACAGCTAAGCGAAACCATTTTCTAGAATTTGTTCAATGCAGAGTAGTAACAGGTTGTATTGGCTATCAAAAGCAACAGCAAACGCACCGAGAAACGTTAAATCTAGCGAGTTATTAACAAAAGAGAAAATCGACGAAGAGAATCGATCATCGCGTATAGGCCCTTATGCATGCTCACTGTCGATTTGACACTTTTCCGCAAATCAGAAGCCGCCGTATTAGATTACACAATGGCATCGGATATCGATGTCCGGTTTCTAGACGTTACCCTGGTTTAAAAAAAAAACCGTTTCTATGGGTATTTGATAGAATTTACAACTTTTTCTCAAACCGGAAGCCGCCATCATGGATTTCAAAATGGCGTCGGATATTGATTTCCAATCTCCAGACGTCATCCCGATTCTAAAAATATCCTAATTGATTGACGGCATCAGCATTTCCAATTTTTTCCTGAAATAGGAAGCCGCCATTCCAAAAATACCTATATTGATGGGTATTTGACAGTATTTCCCACCTAATCTGAAATCAGAAGCCGCCATCTTCGATTTCAAAATGGCGTCGCATATCAATTTTCAATCTGTAGACTTCATACCGATTACAAAAATACCAATATTGATGTGTATTTGACTGTATTTGCACTTTTTCTTATATTGGAAGCCGCCATCTTCGATTTCAAAATGGCGTCGGATATCAATTTTTATCCTCTTAAACCGGAAGCTGCCATCTTGGATTTAAAAATGGCGTCGCATATCAATTTTCGATCTCTAGACGTCACCCCGATTTAAACAATACCCATATTGATGAGTAAACAAACCACCCGACAATGATAAATTTGGCATCCACGTGTACAGATCTATGCGCATACGCTTAAATGAACCGAGTGAACAAACAACAAAAGTCATAAAAACTGCACGAATTTGGATCGAACAGCTTCGCTTCAATGCAAAAGTAAGTTCATTTGACAATGAAAGAAAAAATGAAGACTAGTCAAGTCAAAACAAACAGCTTGAAAACTGATCGAAAGTGGTTCTGTTGATGTTGACGGGGATCTGCTCGAAGAGAAGACAGAATGACTTTCAATTGAAAGTGAAGGTTGACAGCTTCATCGTCGCTTGACGATTATCGATTGAAAGTGACTTTGTGGGGCCCTGCTCAGGAAGTTGTATTTTAAAATATTCCGAACACTAACTAACAGAAACATGCATTTTGCCGAACTTCGGTACGTTTTTAAGATTGCGAACTTAAACGCTTTGAAAATGTTCAAGACCTTGAACTCGGAAATTTTTTGAGATCTTAGACTTCCTAAAATTAAGTTAATGTTGAACTTAAGTTTTTAATGATTTTGATTGTAAGTCTGTTGCTTTAAAATTGATTGTTATGTCAAAAAAAGCTTTTATGGTAATCTAGTTATTTTACCAAAAATTACATGTTTTTACCGAATAAAAATAAACAGGTTTGCTAAAAGAGAAATTTTCGTAAAAATTCTGGAAAAACATGGAAAACTCAGAAAATTGTATTTGGCCAAATGAGTAGACACCAAGGGGTAAGTCACTCAGCACATTGTACCGAAATTAGATTCGGCACAGCTTGGGCACATCCATCGGCACACCTTCAGTATACCTTCGGCACAATCTCGTAGGCATTGGATTGTTGTAAATAAAATGGGAAATGTGGGTTCTAGATTGGGCTCAAGAAAAAGAGGCGGTTATTCAGAACCCATTAGTACTCTTAATTTAAATAATCTAGAAGTCTATTATCTGGGGCCTCCCTTAGCTCAGTCGGTAAAGGCACAGCTACAAAGCAAGACCATGCTGGAGCTGGTTGGGTTCAATTCCCGGTCCGGTCTAGGAATTTTTCAGGTTGGAAAATTTCTCGACTTCATAGAAGCATGATTGGACTTGCCACACAATTATACTAAGGGAAACGCACCTATAGTTGCGGTACGTTAGAAGCGTTAGGTTCCTATAGTTGTGCATGGAGCCTCAATACACTACTATAGGAACCTAACGCTTCTAACGTACCGCAACTATAGGAGCATTCCCAAGTAACAAATCTAGTTTTATGAAGGTTCTGTAGACCATCATTTAGACTTGTAGAATGCTATATAACCTCCATAAAGCTTCTAATGTTACTTGGGTTTACCCTAATGCAAAAATGGTATAGGCATCGAAAGCTCTCAATTAATAACTGTGGAAGTGCATCTAGAACACAAAGTTGAGAGCACACAATAAGTTAATATGCGATATGCAATAAGCTTGAAATGCTAAGAAGAAGAAGAAGAAGAAGAAGAAGAAGAAGAAGAAGAAGAAGAAGAAGAAGAAGAAGAAGAAGTGGAAGAAGAAGAAGAAGAAGAAGAAGAAGAAGAAGAAGAAGAAGAAGAAGAAGAAGTCTATTAATCATCCTCTATAGTCAATCTCCAACAATGTTCCCCAACGGTTCCATCTCTTTCCGGCCACTGATAGACCGTTGCTTTTTACAGCACGATAGGCTAGATTTCTGATCTGCCTTTGATGGCATTATAAAACCCTAAAACACAGGGCAGAACATAAAACACCGAAATTTCGCACACCCGCCTCTTCCCGCGTCATCCTCAGTCCGATTTATCATTGCGATTTCAAACTAAAACATTCAAGGTGTCAGAAATACCCGGTTGCCGGGATGGGTATTTTACAAACAATCGCAGCTTGCTCTATGACCGGCACAATCGGCACACATGCGGCACACTGACAAAAAAGATGACCCAAGATTGGTTTGCGGAGTCACCTATCCCTGAGGGTAAGTCACTCAGCACAGTGTGCCGAAAGTAGATTCGACACAGCTTGGGCACATCCATCGGCACAACCTCGTGTGCATTGGATTGTTCATTAAATAAAATGGGAGCTTCCGAGGGCTGTCGATTGCTATCGATGCCGGTCACAAGTCTTTCAGGTACTACGCAAATGGAGTGTGCTACGAACCGGAATACAAGAACAATTTGGATGGATTGAATCATGCAGTGGTGGCGGTTGGATATGGAATACTCAAAGGAGGAGATTACTGGCTAATCAAGAACTCCTGGTTCAACTACTGGGGCAACGATGGATATGCTTTGATGGCGGTGAAGGGTAACAACTGTGGCCTTACCACCGCTGCGACGTATTAATATTTGAAGTGAGGTTTCGGTTTTAATCCGAATAAAGTAAAAGAGTATTTTTATTTTCGGATATGTGTCATCTTATACGAGATGAAATAAATGGGTTTCGATTTTTGTAACAAAAATAAAAGTTAATTAGGTTGAGTGGAAGCAATAAAAATTCCGTGTGATTGTGCCGTGAAAAGTAGTTGGTCAATTGGTCGTCTACCAAACCAAACTCATTTGAACAATACCGAACTAATTTCAACTCAGCCTAATTAGCTTACAATTTTTAAACCGAATTTCACTTGTTGAGTTACTACGATGGATTGCTCCCGGAACTCCAACACGAACGTCTTAGTTTGTGGTCCTTCTTCTTGGCATAAACCATTCCGACGACGAAAACATCCGAGAGCTTCTTGCCCGGAATCATCACCTTCTGCAGTTCCTTTATCAGATTGAGCAGAAAGGTGCAGTGCTTCTGAATCGTTTCCGTCGGATTGACCAGTAACATTCAGAGCAGTAGGATTTGTATACTATAACGCGCACCCAGAGCATACACTGTACCAAACCACCGTCCTCTGTTCGAATGAAACCTCAGACCATTCAAATCGAAACATGGAAATCGCCTTTTCAAATGATAGCTGCAACCGGATGACGGTTGTTTTAAAAATCCTCTCGAATACAGGATGAACATTGTTATGAGAAGAGATAAGACCTTCAGTTGGAATGTATAATGCTTTCTGCAGAATGATAGTCATCTTAAATTGAAATGCATTTGGTATTGGTTCAGCCGCTTAACGCAAATCTTTCAAAACGATGATGTAAATAATTCTGTTGAACGTCATTTGCTGCTTTGAGCAGACAAACGAGGTGGAAGCATAGCCATCGATGCGATGGTACGAACTACGAACATTTTTAAAGCGTGGAAACCGTAGTTTATCTATTTTGTGGTGGAGGAAGTTTCCTCAACCAAAATATTATTTTTGTATCCATCATGAATGGCTGATGTTCATGGCTGTTCAATATGGAAATGTAAACAATCGAATTAATAATCTAATTTCCAAAACATTTGTAATTGTAAATTATCTTATCCTTAAATGGTTGTCCTTTGAGCCCTGTTACAGCAATTTTCAAATAAATATCATCCTTTATTTGGAGGACAGTCATATGAATGCTAATCAGTTGATGACGAATTCAACCATAAGGAAATCATCCGAAATTCGACAGCATATTGTTAAAGGGCTCAAGCAATACAATAATCAGTCGAAGTTTTGCGGATGTTTTCGTTCAGTGTAGATGATCGATCCGAAGTGCAGATAGTTCTTGTCGCTGAATGCACTGAACTTCAAGCTGTAATTCCCACCCGACTGGATAATCGTTGGTATCTACTCCGGAGACGTACCTTTTGTCCGTCAGAGTCTGCTGGACACCCTCCGACAGTTTGGCATGTTTTACTTTCTTATGAGCATCCATAATCTCCATGATGTGATCCTTGAGGTACTTGTTGAATACGTCTACCGTCTGATGGTGATAACCTCGGCGCCTCCGTGGAGCACATGATGTACGCGATTGGGACGCTGATGTCCACCGTGTCGAAGCTCTTGTCCTTGATGAAGACTCGCCACGAGTCACAGAATTCACCCGGGAAGTTTTCCTTGGAGAAGACGCCCAACATTTTGCCATCCTTAGATCCATTGATTACCTCCAGCAGCTTTTCAAAGTTGCCCTTGTCGTTGTCGTTCTTTTCCCGAACCAACAGCTTCACCGACGGAATGCCCTCCTCACCGTCCTTCTTGATCTGCTTCAAGAAATCGACCTTCTTCTTGCTGGTCAGGAAAAAGATTGACATTTCGCACAGTACCGTAATAGTATCGGTAGCTCGTATCTCAGCAACCAGGTCTTCACCGAGGCTGATTTGCTGTAGATGGCTTCCTCGTCTACGCCAACCGCCGCCAGAATGCAATCTACCTTCTGCAGCGAATCATCATGAGAAAACTCTGGTTCCTTCCAGCTGGCGTAGAGGCGTTTTATTCGTCGGTAGAAGGAATCCTTATCGAGCACGATATTCGACATTTTCGGGGCGTTGCGATTGCAAACCTTAATATTCAAGCTGTCAGAAATAACGGGTTGTCAAATATACCATACTATTCGTATTTTTTTAAATCGCAGCTTGCTCTATGCCCGGCACAATCGGCGAAATCGGCACACCAGCGGTATACTTGCGGCACACTGAGAAAAATGTTGACCCAAGATTGGTGTGCGGAGAGACCTACCCCTTGTCAGCGTCAGTAGCGTGCTATGATCATCCCGGTTATCGTCAAACTTTAATCCGAAATTGGGTCTGTACAGTACATTGTAACAACTGCCATTACATTTGTAGTAAGAAAAAAAAAATGCAGAGTATGAAAGGCATCCACTCTTACATTTGATGTCCGTGTCATTTGTATTGTGTGTAAAACCCTGTACCTCTCTAAACTGTAAAAATGAGGTTATGTGTGTGCAATGAACTTTCGAATGCAAATGTCATTTCCTGCTAACAACTGTCTAGTAGACGCAACTTGATTTCCATGTAAATTTGATTCCCATTGAAAAAACACAACTTTCCAAACATGTTATTCTATGATTTGCATTCAGACAAGCATACATGCGCGTATCATCGAACGATTTGTGTTCTTAACGGTGTGGGAGACACAAATTACGTTTTTTTTTCGGGAAAAGTTGCGTCAACGTTTTTTTATTTGTTTGACGTCATCTCTCCCTTAACTGTATTGTTGCTTCATCTAAAAAAAATATACGCTAGCAGGGCAGTATAACAGCGCAGTAGGCCACGCCTCGTGGTTTGCAGTTCAATCCAGTTCCTCATCGAGATTGGCCAGCAGCCGTCAGTCAGTGGTGCGGAATCAGACCACGCCTCCTCGGTCTCGTTTGACCGCACTGACGACCACAGCTGCCGCGCGATTACGACGGACCGTTTTGAGTGTAATCTTCTTTTTCCGTCCGCATAATCTAGCTTATTCGCTTCCATATAGTACGGATCCGCACGGTGGCAGCGGCGGCGGTGGTAATCAGTCAATGAGCGTGAGCTGATGATATTTTGCAATCGTGCATTTTATGGAAGTATTTTTTATATATATTCAAATGATGGTTCGCCGTTATCGCGAAGCTGACCTGATGATGCACCGCACAGTGTGTACCTACAGTCATAGAAAACGCGCGCTGCAAAAGGACAATGCGCGATGGATGGGCGAACGGACGAGGCTAATTAATTGAACTTTGACGGGCACTTTTCTCTGTCGTTATAAAATGTAATAATTCGCGGTGTCGTTATCGCGCGGTTGTCGGCATTATGCGGCGAAGAAACAGTAGGCTATGGGACATTACAACGATTATCACGGATGGCTGCAGGCTGGCCTACTGCGGCAGAGCGAGACAGGATCGTACGATCGCTTTCGATTGCGATTCAGAGCAATTAACTCCGTGATTGTTTTTATGTTTGTTATGATTTTCGATTTTTTATGGTTAATGGCAGAAGTTTCTTAATTTCCGAATTTATTGATGTTGGTAGAATTAGGACGGGAAATGAGGAAATGTTTGAAGTCAGATGACGATTATGGACGAAACGGTGTGTTTTAATATAGAGATGAAGGTTGTTTGTAAATAGAAATGGTTGCTTTTCGTTAACCATGATAATACTATATGCAAGTGGAAAGTTTCTTTCTTGGGTATAGCATTGAAATGATGCTGACCTTGCAAAAAATATACAACTTGTTCAGGTGGCATTGTTTGAGAAAGTACAATGAAAGTTTATTCAACAAGTTGATAACTATTCCTGGAGATTACTTAATTTTCTATCTCGGAAACTGGTTATAATGAGTAAAGAATTGTTGAAGAATTTCTTCCGAACTTTATGTGCTATTTACAATCTCATAACACTATTATTAGTAATTAGGCGCAAATAAACTTTACCTACGTAGGACGAAGTCTCCATTATTACAATAAAAAATAATTCTGTGACGATGTAATAACCCGTACAGACTATGGCTTATATCATGTAATATAGGTTGTCATGCAATGAGCACTCATACATCTAGTTTTCACTGGAAATCCAATGCATGAGTTCTCATTGCAAGGCAGCCTATATTACATGATATAAGCCATAGTCTGTACGGGGTATAACGCTCCATTTACGAGATTTATCCAGTTTTATAAATTAAAGATTGCAATCACTCGACCAGTTGCAGAACATACATGAACCTTTCCCAAACCACTATATGGCAATGGAACACAATGGTAGTGCTTTAGTGCAGTTTTAAACGTGCCTGCATTTCCTTGGTCCATGGGGGTCAAAGTCATTCTTTATGCAACGTGACTTTGCACCTTTCCGGCATCCCTAACTTCGACCGAGATTTTCAAGTACAAGTTCATACGCCAATACAGAGAGGTACCGTTGTTTGCGGAAGGAGCTTTAGCCGGAATTATTTTTCTTTGGATTCCTGGATTAATGTAATGTAATGTCAGAAAATATGAGAAAAGGAATACCGACTAAAACGCCATCCGCAAACAACGGTACCTCTCTGTACGTTGATCCAAGGGACCATTGTTTGGCACTGAAGCTTTCTGCCCTTCCTTCTCACCCTCACATGAAAATCAAACTTCCAACATAAAAATAAATAAACAAAGCCTTGTTGCCACTGTCAATAATGGGGTAGCTTTTCCTAGGAATTATGGCCAACTTGGATCCTACTACTACTAGCACCGCTCAACGGCCGTCCGCAGTTTTTGTCCACTCAAAACCATACAAGAAAAAACGTATTTTTCTCGTGATTAAGATTCGTGAATGTGGGTGGGCGTAACGAACCTTTTTGCTAGATTGCCGAAAGCATTTGGAAGGATGTTGTGAATTTTAAATCAAACACCGGACTGAGATATACTTCCGTTCATTTAACCGTACCACCGGGAAAGACAACATGTTCTTTTGCAAAGATAATTTGGCTAAGTTTTCGTGGGAGTAACCAACAGCGGATGATTGATCTCTTGACAGGGTTGAAAAAGTTTTCCTCATTACCGAAGCTAATGTAAACCATCCGTCAACTCGGTCTAGCAACTAATTACATTTATTCTGTTTGACTTACCTTTCGCAGAATGATAACTCACTGCAGCTTCCTGCTGTTAGTCGTGGGACTGATGGCATTCGCAAGTCCGGCACTGGCTCGCCAGGATAGCTACCTTCCGAAGGATGACATTCCTGGTGAAGAGCTCTACAACGAACTGGCCGGTGAAGTTCACAAACTGCACAATCAAGAGCTGAAGCTGCTTCAATTCCTAGGAGGGATGACCGCCAAACAGCAACAGGACGAGGAACTGATCCAGCAAGAGTTGCACAAACAACAACAGCCTGAGTCCGATACGCTTCTGGATGACCTCCCGGCGGAGAACCCTGTCAAGACCCTGGGCAGGCTGGCAAGGCTTCAGGAGCTTCCGAAACCGCTGACCTACCAGAAACCTAGGGAGGAAAAGAAAAGCAATCATTGTTAGTTCTTCACGTTGAAATAATCTTGAATTGTAAAACTAATCAACTGTCGTGTTCATTACAGATATGTCACTGTGCCACTTCAAATTGTGCAACATGGGACGTAAAAGGAACACTCGATACTTGAGCTTGTAGGTCCACCGCCAACTCACAGGAAAAATGACAAAATCCTAACCTTCTTTCTCAAATTCACAGCTGGAACTAAATTGAACATTACCAACGATGAACTCAGATACTCATACTCACCAAAAAAGAAACCCAAACGCAATGAAATACTCATCACAAACCAATGAGATGACCGCTAGAACAAAGCAACCCAGTGAAATCGACAGAAAATTACATTTTTCAAAAATGCCCCCCGCTACGGTCGAAGAAGGCGGCGCCCATTCACATCACCACAAAACAAACTGTATTACCACCCTAGGAGTACCCACACATTCCCACATTCTATTTATTCGTATTACACACCCCGGCAAAAAACTAAAATTTACCGATCGAAACCATAATGATTATTTTCTGCGTAGAAAGGTAGAGCCAGACTCCCTGCACATTCCACTTATTCACATTATTTAAAAAAAAAACTGTATTAGCAAATTTCCTACTTTTAGTTCCAGGGACGAAAAGTATTCGATTATAACGCTTTTGTTTTAGCGTAAATTATTCACACTTTAAGCTTAATCAAAACAAGGAAAATCTCACATTTTATACCTAAAAACAAATTTGATTCCACTTCCGAAGGCGCGCGACGGATGGCAGATATTTCCATCCACCGCCACCGCCGGAATGTCTGTATTATTAGGATTAGTTCGAAAATGTTTTGCTCTTGATTTGTTGACAATTATTTAAATTAATTTTAAAATCGAATTCATTAGAACACAAACACACTATAGCCACTCATTCATTCATTCAAGTATTTCATGTTGACAAATAAACCTCCCCCGCATAACCGAGAGGATTGTTTCCTCCAACCGCTCAAGTACGTTACTTAATACTTAACAACTAACTATCTAAACAAGAAAACCTATGTTACACATATGTAGTACGTACATGTAAGCTACTCACTTGATAAGATTTTTTCCGAGAAAAACAAAGGACTAGATGCATATAAATTTAGCAAACAAAAAAAAAACCTACATGAAATTTAAAACAAAACTGGTGAGAATGTAACTATATCTTACTGTCAAATTGAAGGCCATAGTAGTAGGCGTAGTTACCAGCTTGTTTCTACCAACTATTAAATTGAACGAAAGAAAAATAAATGCAAGGGAAATCAACAACCAAGAGCTATATTTGTATATGTGTGTAAATATGAGCAGGTAGTTGTAATTATTATTGTGTTGTTATTATCATTATTATCATATAAAACATTAGAAAACCAAAATTCGAAAGCTGGTCCGACCGGACGGTTCGGAGTAAAAATTATATAAATTATTTATTTTGGATGATATTCAGCAAATAAAAGTTTAAAAAGAATCTCCATGCTGTTGTTGAGTGGGTGTTTGTCGGGAAAACTTTGTTTGTTTCTTCCACATGTCCAGTATTGTTTGTTTCGCTTTGACACGTGTTGCGGTTGCACTTGTACAGTGCAAAAGGGGAAGCCGAACGGAATTTGTATGGCAGATTGTACCGGTAAGTCATTTCGATCAAAGTGCACAATGAGGCACCTGTTCTTGACACATTTTCTGCTCAACACACATGTTCGTGATTTGTTGCGTCCGGTATTCCACATGAATTGCATGGTTTCATTATTTAGTTTCTGTGATGTTTCTACTGTTAGTGATTTCCATCTGCTGCAATCGACGCGAATTAGCTATTTATGCAACAAGCTGTAAAATGAAGATTTTTCAGCACGGGTGCACGACGAGTGCTGAAAAAAAATCGAATTTTTAGCAACGAATGGCATAGAATGATGAAAAGTTTGGTCAATTTTCTACTTTTCGCGATATTCTGAAATGACCGTTTTCGATGTGGGTGCGCAGGATCAATTTTCTTTTTTTGTCTAGTCTAGTACAATTTGATTTTAATACTGCACGTATCGAAACGAAACTTTCACCACTGAAACACGTGTACTTTCATACAAGTCAACTACCAAATCGGAGGTGTATTAAATTCAATCTTCTTAATCGTATTATGTCATGGAAACAGTGGGAAAAACACTTACGATGATTATTCGACTGGCATCAAATTAAATCGGTCCAGTTTCAGCCAACATTTGAAAAATCTTCTTTACAAGGATAGTCATTCAAGTTGATTCGTATTAAAGCATCAATCCATAACGCAAAAGTTGACGTAGAGTTGACTCATCATTAGCATTATCCTATTTCTATCTTCTTCTTCTTCTTCTTCATTCCTTTATTTAACGTCGGTCTCTGTTACGCAATCTAGTGCCAATCACCGACGGACATCGATTGCCATCCAATGACGGCAATCGAATGTGCAGGAAGGCAGCTTCCACACCTGCGTAGGATATCGCACCCATTCAAACACACATGGGCCGGTACCAACGGCTTTACTTCCCTTCCGAAGGAAGACGTGGACCAGAGATTTTTATGCCTCAGAAAAATCTCACCGACTCCGGCTGGGATCGAATCCAGACCCATTGGGGTGAGCAAGCAGTTACGCTTACCCACACCACCGGCACCGGCTCTTTAATATCCCGAAGAAACGTGCTCATCTTTTTGGCTCAGCTCTCGTACTCTTTTCGGTCCCAAGCTAATCGATGCACCCCTCGAAACATAGGAAAATCCACGAACCTCTCATTTTATCTGTCAAACTTTCATAGCGAATCAAAACAAACATAGTGTAGTACTAGATTTTCGACTATAATGGGCTACGTTAATCAATGTACTTGGGACCGACAGGCTAGTCCAGTGTGAACCAATAATCGTTAGTTTCCACCAGTTGATTAAACTGAGTTTAATGACAAATTTATTATGTTTTAAGCAAAATGAGAATTTTTTAATTTATCAATGCGTTAAACGTCACTAATCTCTATATTCATAGTCTGGCGGATAGAATCTCGGGAACCAATTGAGCTGTCAAATAGCGGAACCAATCGAGCAAATCATGACCAACAACAGAAAAGAGCACATCGGCTATTGCGTACATAACTTCGGAAAACCCTTTTTTTTTGCTCTTACAGAGCAAGCATTCCAGGTGACGATAGTTAGCGGTTAAGACGCCATACTGGATGTTGAACTTACCGAGCACTTGGATCTGTTCGGGCGTATTGCGGCACTTATACCCCGTTCACATTACAGCGTATATCACGTATACTGTCTTGCAATGAGCACTCATACAAAGGATTTCCAATGAAAACTAGATGTATGAGTGCTCATTGCAAGACAGCGTATATCACGTGATATACGCTGTAATTTGAATGGGGTATTACCACAAACGAAGTGACAGACGACTTACTGGCGAAGAAATCCATTAAAATAATGTGGTTCACTGTAATAGAATTTTCTTGGAAGCTTGTGCTATCATCCACCAGATGGGTTAGTTTTTTTGTTTTGATTTGAACAAAGTTGATTTTGTGTACAATGATTCTTTGACAGTGTGCAAAGAGTGCGTATCATTTTGTCATTTTTTTTATGCATTTCAGTTTTGAGTAGAGTGAAAGAGATAGAACCAAAATATTCTAGTACATTTGGTGAAAATGCTAGTTCAATCTAGTAGTAGTGTTGCCATGTGGTACAATCCAGTAGTAGTGGTGTTGCCATGTGGTACACTGAAAAATTGCAATAGCAGGTTAGTCACCAAAGTTTTCGAGCCGCTCCGTCTGTCACTTCGTTTGTGGTATTACGAAGAGCACCGGACATGTTGACGAAAATTTCCATCAGTTCATCCGCTGAGAACAGATCGGGGTTGTTGTTTTGCGCTGTTGGTTGTCTCCATGATCCAGGGGGGGGGGGGGGTGGAGAGCTTTGGCCAGCAGAATCACCGGAAGTTGCTTGAGCCGGATGCACCCGCGAATTCGCTTGCCTTTGCTGAGGAGCACGAAGAGGCGGGAAATCCTCCGTCCGAAATGCCGGGACTTTATCCTTCTTGCGTCCAGGTTGGTTGTTAGTTGCCGCCTGTTTTCGGATGCGTTTGAAGTCCTCGCGTTTGGAGCACTGTCTGTCGAAACCGTGATGAGCACCACCACAGTTGGCGCATTTTAACGCCACGGCTCCATCCGCAGGGAAGTTGGAAGCGGCGTGTTCTTGAGCGCAGTTGCTGCAGCGTGGCTTGATGTTGCAGTTGCGGGTACCGTGTTCAAAATTGAGGCACCGCTGGCACTGCGTTACGTCACGATGGCCGCCACGGTATGGCTCCCACCGTACGATGATGGAGTAGATCGATCGGATGGCTTGCAGCGCATTGAGAGTGCACCAGGAAGAGACAATCCGGGTACGTCTTGACGTTTTCGTCTCTCCTTGTCATTTGGAAGACAGCGGATTGGGGCTAGCTTGTACCGGTTGATTTCAGCTTCGACCATCTTGGGGTCGAAGTTTGGTAGAGCCCTGATGACTACCTTGAAGGGCTTCTCACCGGGGATGTCGTGCGTGAAGAATTCCGCCTTGGAATCCTTCAGATATTTCACGGCCACTTCGTACTCCGCTTTTGTTCGCAGCATCACCTTGGTGCCGATCCTGCCGAGCTTAAACTCAGCTGCAACGCCCAGCGATGAGAGATCGTCAATCAGCGTGTTGAGTGGTACTTTGTGGCATACGGAACGCACATGCTGTAAAATCCCACCTAGTAACATAAAAGCATTCATACAACCGGCACCATGCCGCGGCAAACCAATAAATATCATGTCTTCGAAATGCTTATGCAACAAATGCACATGACTGCATAAAGCAGTTCGAAGACCCTCAGCAGTTTCCAATAAATTACGACATGGCACAAAAGTGTCCTGCTCGTATTACATTTCCAGAACGACGCATTCGAAGTGTCGTTGTCAAGCGCACACGATGCTAACGGCCTTCTCCATTAGGTTCTCTCTATTTCTCTCTATCTCTTTCTCTCTCTTTTACATCGATCACTGATTGGTGATCGAGTGAATAACAAATACATAATTGACTCCAAGTTCCTCCAGTAGGAATCTGTAATGTAAAAGAAAGAGTACGAATAAATCGACATTCATGTTTTAACATCCAAACGATGAAGATCATTCCCATAGTGATATCACGTTCGAACTTCACACGGCTATCACAACCTGCTTCACCACCAGTGGAGGAAGCTTGACTTTCGCCGCACTCGGGCCGGCAGAATTCTCGGTTTCGACGGCGTCGCCGAAATCACCGATGTCGCGGTAACATCATCGCGTCCGCTCGTACCATCGGACTGTCCTTGATTCTTCTTCCTCTTTTTCGTCCGCTTCACCGGGACTGGGGTGGTATTCCCAACATCGGTGGGAAGAGTAGCGTACCTATTTGAGGTAGGTACCGAGCTACCCTCACCACTGTTCTTCTTCTCCGCTTGGTCACGAAGTCTGCTCCGGGAGCGCTGTCTTCCCATCACGCGATGCGACCGACACTACTGACGACGCGACGTGCAGTTTATCTGCGAACGTTTGTAACAAACTATAGGTTTATCGAACAATTCTATTCCTACTCTTTACTGTAATAAGCTTGGTGGCCCTGAGAAGCGAGGGGGGCGACTCTATCTACGATGCAGGAAATTTTGACGTAGGACTACGTCTTTGATTTCTATATGGGGGTACACTTTGTGAAAACCGAAAATGGAATATGTAACAAATTAAGAAAGATTTTGAACGTTAATAACTCAGCTGCCCCTGGTCCAATTTCAACAATTTTATCACCAATCGATCAGAAATATGGCTACGCATCGATAATAATGCTTCCGAATGTTGATTTTCAACAAGAACTATTGAAAAACTGGTAAATGTCCAGCATTGTCCAAAAGCGTCGAATTAACTAACAAATCCACCAATTACCTACATGCATATGCTGCTTCCCCAGCACAGTCGCCAGAGAGTAGTAAGTAGACGAAACAAGTCGAAGTGGCATTCGCCTCCTATCCTCGGGCGCGTGCGAATATTGGGAGGATGGAATTGCGTAATATTTTGCACACTCGTTGAAAATTGTTCTCCAGTAAGAACGAAAGGCTGCCTGCAAGCAGCGAGCTGCAGAGCCCACATAAGCAACCATCAAAGGAGGAAGAAGCTGCACCGCTATGCTATGGATCGGAATCAGTAGCTCTTCGTGAGTCGCTGCGGGTCGGTTATCTATGCCAAGCGTGTCACCCTCGCTCCAAACGACATACAGCTCGACAGCCTCATTCGTGTTGAACACCCAGCTCAGAATTACTCAACCATCACTACAAAACGGTCCTTTTCAAGGCCACCAAAAATTTGTTAAAGAGTATTATTTGGACATTGGTCAAAGGTCATCAGTTCCCGCAAGCAGCTAGCTATCAAGGCTCAACCTGTCTATA